GGGTTTGGAAAAGGGGTGCCAGGCCGAAAACGGGATGCAGCCGAAACAGCAAAAGATAGACCAGGGATCGAGCCCTGGCGAAGTCCGTAACAGTATGGGTAGGTAAGGTACAGGTATTCCAAAAAATCTCAGTTGCCACCTCTGATCCCGATCTATGTCTTGAGTTGTTGTATAACGAGGAACGACCACGTGTATGCGAGTGGGACATGCGCGACTCCGTAGCACAGATTCGATGACCCTATCAGTTCCCTTCAGAAACACATTGTTCGACGTTCGTCGACTCTGGTTTGTGATTGTTGATACTGTATTTTCCCTGTACTTAGTTTTGCTTTCGTCTAACGAGTTAATCGTGGTCCCGTTACCTACTGTTGCTCCCCATTGGGCCCACACTTTGTGTTCTGATTGTCATCGTGCGAAATGACTGAGGTCGAGAGGATTCGATTATGTGCCACCTGGAGAGTCAGAAGTGGATAGAGTCGCGCGCTTGTGGTGCTCTGATTCTGACTTAGAACTCTGCGAGATACATCGCCGAACGCTCGTCCATAGCCGAGATCAGACTTGCGCGCCTGCACTGTTTCGGCTTGGGAAAAAGATGCTGCAGAGCATGGGACAATGTCCAGTGATATTTTTTGAAATAGATTGATGTTGATTGCCCGCCATTTCATCTTTGGCCCTTGTTTCACAATCATAACCAGAGCCGCACAGGAGATTCCAGTTCCAATGTGGGACTCCACACACATGTTTTCCTAAAATCCTTGGCACACCCCTGTTGCATGCTTCCCGGGCCCTTTCCGCATTTTAGTCCACTCCATGAAGGAAAGCAGCTTGTGAGGTTGAGTGTCACACATTCTTGTAATCCACATCCAAGAAGGGAGCATCCATATGATAAGGGCCCCAACCATGGGCCCCCCTGGGCGCAACATTCGGGACAGACCCCTCCCACAACTGATATATGCACTTTTCGCCGTTTTCGGCATTTTAATGGCAAGTGTTTGGCACTGGGGCCATTTTCTAAGGGGAGAAAGGGGGAAGGAGAGAGGAAATTCAGTTATCCGAGTCAAATCGCCAGTACACGACCCCAGCCTTGCAGAAAGTTTTTTGTCGCCACAAGCAAAAGTTGGAGGCGCCGCGCGGCCTGGGGTGCCATTGAAAAAGAAAATCGGCGGCTTCCGAAGTGGTGCGGGTTTCATGCTGACACCTGCGGGCCTATGTGTGGTGTACTGGTGGTTTAAGGCTTGCGCTCCACTGGATAACTCTGAGGAATTTCCCCAACTTAAACCACCATTGTCCAGGTGATCACTGTGCACTCAGTGACTGGCCTCTACAACACCATGGAGTTATATATTTAAAAAAAGAAAAGAGAAAAAAAAACACCATTGCTACGTTGCTGCGACCGCTCATCATGAATGAATCTGTCTGTGCACGGCAGGCCAGTATGTTCCAGAGCGTGTACTGGCGTGTGCATGGCTGAGTTTTGGGGAAGTACTGGTGGTTTGAAGTAAGTTAAGCACAGAAATCGTAATCCTTCGTGAGGCTCCGCAGCCCACCAATTCCTAATATTTACAAAACTTTGCTAACCAACAGTGTCATCCCAGAGGCACTACGTGATCGGATGGCCGAGATTGGACACTGCTGAATAGGACTCGGGAATGAAAAAGTAGGCTGGAGAGATGCCTGTTTCGCTTCCGAAGCAGGCCCGTGGGCTGGTCAGCAAAAACTGAACGAGATTCCTGTTTGAGCATCAACCGCACTCTACGTGTGTCTGCTCTTATCAGCACCCCTAAAACTACCTCGGGCCGTTCATCCAAAAAAAAAGAACAAAAAAAAAACAATCGGTAACGAGCAGTGGGCCCCTTTTACTTCCAGGAAATTTCTCGAAGCAAGTCTAAAGCAGAAGCCTAAGAAAATCATCATGCCTGACAATAATGATGGCATGCTGACATTTGGTAGACAATAAGAAGTCCTGTTGTGAAGTTAAAAAGAGGAAAAAAAGAGGACATAAGAAGTGTAAGAAAGAGGATCAGCGCTAGAGGGGGCAAGGAGCAGGATAACAGATTCAATTGACTCTTCTCTAAAGGAAAAAAAGGGGAAAGGAAGCGGTCACAGGCTGGAAGCATGAAATCTTCAGAAAGGGCTCCAACTTATGACGTTCAAAACTAGCCATTGACTCTCTTTATATTGTATATTACCATACACAAATCACCACTGGCCAATGCCAACGGTAAGCATGAAATCTTCAGAAAGGGCTCGGAGTCCAAGTTATGACACTCAAAACTAGCCATTGACTCTCTTTATATTGTTTATTAGCATAGACAAATCACCACTGGCCAATGCCAATGGTACACAAAGCTTCTGATCCACAGGGGGCCCACACTTTTGATGTACAGGCCCACGTGGACCCGGGGCCAAGTCCCACTTACCTGAATTCTCAATTTTTAATCATAGATTACGAAGATCGACGGCCAGAAATGAAGAATCAGGGTAAGTGAGACTTGGCACCTGGTTCAATGCGTATCCCCTTGAAACAGTCTGAGAACCTTGAAAAAGTGGAAATCCCCCTGAAAAAGCGCGATACCCTAGGAACAGGATCTAGCCTCTAGGTACTCGCGGTTTTGCAGAAGAAAGGGTTTATTTTCTTTTCTTGTTGTTCATTGTGTACGTTTCTTTCTGTCCTTTTCTCCCCAAATCTGTTTGGACACGGAGTTCATCCCTGGCAGGCCTTCCACAGGATCGCCACCGCCACGGAAACACATCCAATTGCAGACCAAGATCATACTGGCCCCACAAGCTCGAATCTGTCCCGTCAAGTGACTAGTGGAACTGTACAAAAAAAGAAAAAAGAAAAAAAAAGGAACTGTACAATGACCCCAGGCCCAGAAAGGCTGCTGACACATGGCCATGTCAGAGCGACTTTAGGGCTGACTAGACTCATTTTATTTGAAGGTCTAAGGTGAGAGAATAGAGAATACAATGCCGCCGATTTTCAAGCGATTTGAACCACCACAGTGACTGCAGTACCAACACCCTCCTGCGAAACTTCCAGCGTTATACACTAAGGCTGACAGTGTGCTTTCCATGTAGTGGCCTGGCGCAGACTGGTTTGATCCCTATCTAGGTTTGCCAATTAGGGTTTGCTGTACTACCGCATTTCTTCTCTTTTCTGAGAAAATTAAGGGCCTCGCCACACTACTACCGAAAGTGGCTGTTTTTGGGGGTGTGGCCCGAAAGTGGCTGTTTTCGGGGGTGTGGCGTCACCACACCAGCTCCCGCATTTGATCTGTCAGATCAGACAGCATGCGGCTCCCAAGAGCACTGAGTCTCCCGAAAGTCACATTGACGTCCCGCCTGCAAAGCTGCATTTCCGAGAGACCTCCTTCGAATTTCCCGAGTTTGATTCGAGATTCAGACTGAGGGGCTCCTTAGACACTCCTCGGGCGCGTAAATACCCCGAGGAAATAATCGTTAGACCTATCCTCGGGGACGATTCCCGAAAATGCAATGTGAAAACATTTCCTTGGGCTGTCCTCGGGGCGTCCTCGGGCTACAGGCAATCGCCGGCGATCCCCGAGGTTACTCACGAGGTCTCTTGGAGGCCGAGCATCCGCGATAATCGGGACGGTGGCGGCATCCTTCGACGATGACAATTTTTTGGAGGGTGGTCCACTGCAGTACCTGCCGGTCAGTCCACGGACATGTTCGGTCGCCAACGTTCGCCTTCGATGGAAGTGACGGCAACGGTAACCGTTGGGGACGGCCGGCCCTTGCGAACGCCGAAAGGCGTTCGCAGTCCTTCGCGTTGGAGGGCGGCACACGGAAAAGGGTCCAACAGTCGTCAAATTCAAATATTTCAGGCGGTAAGCGTTCCAGCCACCCACCGCAGTCTGCAATGTAACTCGGCAGAGGGCGTTTTCTTGTCGGATGCTGTCGCCTGCTGTTTGCTTCCGTTTGCTGGAGGCGCGCTGTCGTCAACCGTTTCCTGCCCGTATGCACGTGTAGTTCATGGCCGACGTCTTCCGAAGGCTGCCGCTGCTTGTCCTGGTCGTCATTTTGCTTCTCCTTGTCGTCGTCTTCCACGTGCGCATCCTGGGTCGGGTGCCTGGTCGCACACACAAGCGACGATCGGTGAAGAAGCACATCACCATGGACGGACGGCAGGTGAACCACAGAACGTCGTTGGAACAACACGCTAACCACCGCCCCAATCACGACAGTACTCGCGGTACAATCCGCACGACCCTTCAGCCTACGTGCACCTCCCACCACACTTGCAACCTCTACCCGACTCGTCAGATGGAGAGGGAGACGAAGGTGGGTCACGTACAGTCCCGCTGGCTCTACGGCCGCCACACGGACAGTCCTCGTCAACCATCACCCTGACGACGACGCAGGGCAGGTGACATTGGTAGGCTGATCTGCGAAGGGTGCGTCCGTCGGATGGGAGGGATCGGATAACAGGAGGGAACGGCCGAGAGTACAATCGTCGACAACATCAGTGTCACGCGCTGGCGTCGGCCGTCCTCAGTGGATCCGGTCCCCGTCTCCATTGTCGGGAGGTTGCGTTGGGGGGCAACGTGCGTCTGAGTGCGGGCCGACGAACGAGGACTTCGCATGCGGGGGTGACGAAGCAGATGGGAGGCACGTGTGGAAGGACCAAAAGTAGGAGATGTGTCGACGGCAAGAGGAGTCGATAACCGAGGGGGTGCAGCGTTTGCTCGTGGGGGAGCGGGACGTGGAGGCAGACGGGGCAGTCGGGGGAGGCAACGACTGCAACGACGGCAACGAAGGCGAGTGCGAAGCACAGGACGACGAGTCGGGGGACGTGTTTCCGTTGCGGAAGGCGAGCATGGGCGGTCGGGCCGGTAACAGCAAGGCTTCCGCGTCGACAGCCAGGCGTGGAAAGAAGGCGGTGGGTGGTGGTGGCGAGGCCTAAGGCGACAGGGAGGGGGAGGGTAGCCAGAACTTCTGGTCGGTGGAGCACATGGTCGCCCTCATCAGGGCGAAGCGGGACCAAGATGTGCAACTGCAGATGGCGGGCCACGCGTTCGCTCAGATGAAAGGGAGGGAATGGAAGTGGGCAGACGTTCGTGAGAGGTTGTTGAAAGTCGATGTGGATAGGCCGGCAGAAAAATGCGGGAAGAAGTGGGATAATTTGATGCAGCAGTTCAAGAAGGTACATTGCTTCCAGGGAGAGTCTGGGAAGGAGGACTTCTTCCAGCTGTCGGCGAAGGAGAGGCTGGCGAGGGGGTTGAATTTCAACATGGATCGGGCCGTCTACGAAGAGATCAAGGCATCGACCACAAGGAGTCATACAATGCACCTGCAGAATGTCGCAGACACCGGCCGAGTAGGAGATGTGCAACTTCCATTCGGGTCTTCTGGCGGTCCTGAATCTGTCAGCGATGGGGAATCCGATGCGGGTGGCGATGGCAACGACGAAGACGACAGCTCGACGAGGGGTTGTTCGCAGACCACGGGAAGCCCTGGCGGTGCACGGAAAAGGAAGAACATGAGGCAACAGACTTTCGAAGCCCTCACCGAGTGTATGGAGAAGCACGGAACGCTGATGGCGTCGACCATGGAGAGCGCTAGCAAGGGGCAGTGTTCCATCCAAATTCGGCAGTGCAAAGCTATGGAAGCGGAGATGGAGGTGCAGAAGAAACGCTACGTGGCATCGGATGAAGTGAGCAAGATGATGTGTCACGCGCTGATGGAGATAGTGAAGGCCATACGAGATCGGTAGATGCCGTGGTCAGGAAGAGACTGCCTAGGCGAAGGCGTCGACGTTTGTCCCGTGTTCCAGGCGGAGCGCCAGGAATGTTGAGTGCCCCCTCCGTAGTTCGTCATCTATGCTAGCTTTGTGCCCAGTTACGAGTCGACAAAGACCGACATTCGCCCTGTGCCACACGTCTGCGTAGCTGGGTGGGCGTTTTGGATGGGTTGTGTGTTCCTTTCGTTCAGAGCATCGTTGAAGGCAAATGATGACCTTGTTTATTTTAGGAATAATTTTTGTTTTTGGTAAATTTCCCGGCTTTCGTGGTGTTCCGTCATCATGCGATGACGGTGAGACGATCTCACATCGTCGTCGACAGCAGGCTTCGCACTTCATGGCTGACGTCTTATGACTTGTTCTTGCTCGTTTCTCTCTCTCTCTCTCTCTCTCTCTCTCTCTCTCTCTCTCTCTCTTTCTCTCTCTCTCTCTCCCTCTCTCTCTCTCTCTCTTTGGTGCTCGGTTTCCAATCTTTGTTTGTCGTTGTCCATGCCATTGGCTGCGTTAAATCCTCTCACCGTCCAATGACGTTTCTGGGGAGCGTGTCGGTGACGAAGCAATGTAAGGTAGGGCTAGCGTGGAAGGTACTATTTGGGGTTGCTCATAGTTCTGAACTTGTCATCATAAGTATATGCATGCGGGAAGTTGTCGTATGAAATGCTCTCCTTTTGTGTTGAATTTATGTTCGCATACTCACGAAACGACCGGAAATGGAAGTGGTCGCCAGCTGTAAGGACAAAAGCATCCCAAACATGGAAATTGGTTTACAATTAACAGACATGATGGGATGAGGTCGCTCGAATGCTTGCCCACAACCACAGCAAAGAGGACAGACAGTTGGCGACACACACACACACACACACACGCACACGCACACACACACACTGCGGAACGACATGACATGTGGTGGTTTCGTAGCGTTTTGTTCGGGGGGGGGGGGGGGGGCTTCCCCGCGGGTGGTTTCTGGCGCGGGGTTGGGGGGGGGGTGGGCGACGCGGGGGCCGGCGGAGGGGGTGGGGGGGGGGGGGGGGGGGGGGGGGGGGGGGGGGTGGGGGGGGGGGGGGGGGGGGGGGGGGGGGGGGGGGGGGGGGGCGCATTCACGCCTGCGAGCTTCCACAGCTGTCTCTGTCGGACATTGACAAACGCTGCGTACGGGGACGCCAGCGAAAGGTGAGGCGAGAAGGGTGAACTTGGGTGAACAAGCGGAGGCGAAAACCAAAGGGTCCGATCGCTTGAGCAGGAGGTGCGCTTGTTGGTTTTCGCGCTAGCAGTCGCCAGACATTGCAGCACGCCAGTATCTTCTCACCGGACTGCATCTTTGGCGTCCAATCCTGCTACCCCCACGCCGCGCTTCTCTGTCAACCGCAAATGCACTTCAGACCTCTTCCGTCGCTCAAATTTTTGGCGTCGCAAGACAAACCCCCCAAATCTTTGTCGCCGCACACATCTCTGGAGGCAGCCATCGCCTTTTTTCGGTCACTTGCGCACGGGGACCATTGCGTGCACGTTGCTTGGTCGTCCTCTACGCGGCACTACGCGCGGCTGGATCGCCATTTTCGCCGCCATCTAACAATCGTCCGCGACGATTACCTCATCGTCGCCTTCGACTTTCGCTACGACTTCTCCCCCTCCTTGCCTTCATCCTCCGCGCTTGTCGTCGTCAACGATGACAAACTCTCGCAGCGTCTCGCAGCGCCGGCCAAGCGAAAAGGGGCAGGGACGTTCTTGAAAATGTTATGCCTGTCGTGGAGAAGAAGGGAAGGCATCAAGCAAAGAAGCGTAAGGCTGTCGCTGGGGGGCCGTCCAATGCCGGGAAAAATGTAAGGGAGGAGTGGGTGAATGACGGCGAGAGCACGAAAGAAGATGACGCCATCCAATCGGGGGAAGAGGAGGCCGTCGCGCGGAAAGGGTCGTTGCGCACCCGGGGTGCTTTGAAGATCAACGGCACGGGTGCCGCACAGGCTGCTCATCAACCCCGAGGTGGGGGGGCGCGCGAGAGGGAGGATGTCGTCATCGACGTCGACGCCGGTGTTGCGCCGAGGGAGGTGCGTGGCATGGCAAGCATCACAGAGGTGCGCACGGCGGGGGCATTGACGAGGACACGTACGACGACGCCACCGGAGGGCGATCCGTCTGTTCGGGCCCCTTCGTCACCAGCGACGCCACGTCAGCAGCCCGTAAAGGACGACGGGGGGGGTTCGAACACGGTTGTTCAAGGGAGCGGTGTCGCACTTTTTCCAGCCTAACCACCTCGGGCGACCGGAAAGCCAACAGGCTGTTACGCAAGATTTTGTATGTGATTGCAATAAATTAAATAAAGCAAATAAAGCAAATCCCTTCCTGTTGTGTGCGCCCGGCTTCGAGCGAGACCCTTCAATTGCGGTCTTCGTCGGACCCCAGTCTTAGGAATCTTCAATTGTGATTCGGAACAGCTATGATAATGAAGATAATAAAATTTAAATAGAATATGCCATGTGTGTATCAAGATGCCAATTTAGGGAATTGAGAATTGTGACATGATCAGCAAGGAAATACAATCATCAAGTAAGAACAGTGCAAGAAGCAAGACTGACTGACTCGAGCAAGGACAGGATCAAATGAATGAGGGAAGAATGAGAACTCATAATAATCTCAGAAAGTACACATAAACAAGCATAGTCAGCACCTCTCAAGAGTCCTCACTCATCCCTCTGGTCAGTTCTCAATCTCTCTTTTCACTGATCTTCTCTGGTGCCGTGACCCACGCCCACGTACAATCTGAGACTGAGGCTTCGTGACAAAATGCCACCTATAGCCAGCAAGCTCTGAGCATGACCATCCGAGGCACATGACATGGTAGTTAACCAGGGAGCAAAACTCCTCCCACAATGTAGGCAGTCAATCCACTAAGAAGACTCCCCGTCTGAGGTAGGGATACTCGGTGGGCTCGGTCAGTGCCTCAACATCGATCACTGCCGGAGAGATGTACCTCTTTGTCAAACTAATCACATCCAGCCAACTCGTGCCATCAGTGAGAAGAGAAGGGACTGGAGGCCTAGGATAATCAGTGTAAAGCATAGGCCCGAAGCTGCGGATCAACGTAGTGCCACTCTCATCGAGCTCCCTCTCTCTCTGCTCAAGGTATTCGGTGGCTGAGATCCAGACTGGATCGAAAAGTTCGTGAGCCTCCTTGCCCTTCTTCAGGTAAGGCCTCAGATCGTGGATAGTGCCATCAGCAAAACTGGTCTGGACAATGAAGATTGACAGATCTCCCTGTCTGAAACCAATGGCACTAACATACTGATAACGGAATGCCTCCTTGCATGAAAACCGGTTGAGGCTGGCCAACACTGACTCACTGACCGGCGTTGAATGAACTGTGTTCATGAGTACTCTTGCCAGTACAAGCTAATCAGATGGTCCTGGAGAACTGGCTACCCAACTGATTGCAGGAAGTTGATTGCTGAATAGATGATTGGTGAATGTCCGGATAAGTGAGTTGCATCTATTCAGATGCTAAACGCTCACTGATGGCTGCCAACAGTCCTCCTTGCTTCCTCAATAGTACCCACAGAAGTTATAGTGACACATAGTCTGTCGTTCTTATCGTGTAGGTAGTATGTGTACTCGATTTTTGTATGATTTCTCGCGAGGGCCAGTGCACGTTCCATCATCATTGTAGTCTGCTGATTGTACTCCTCAACTGCACTTTCCCTCCAAGTCTCCGCAGTGCTATGATACAGTGAGCAAGAGACTCTGACCGTGTTGTTGCTCTCCATATCCTCATCGAATTCTCACTACATCAGTTCTCACAACTCAAGACGGGTGACTCTTGGATGATCTGGACATGAAAAGGCTGTAGGTTAGATTGTTGTTCCTTGTTGCTATTCCCGGTTGCAGTTCTCCGTTGTCGTTTGCTCGCTGTTTGGTTACCAATTGACTGTTGCTGCTGAGATGATGCTGATTGAGAAATCTGATTACTGCAGGGACGGCCATATGCTGCCAGCTGGAGACATACGTAGCTGAAGCTATGGCACAACACGTCACAGAATCACTAGTTTCTACTGTTACGTATTGGGCATAAAGTGTGCTGGCTGACAGATGCTTGATTACTGTCGAAATGAGCTGATTGAGAAACACTTAGTCACTGGCTGAATGCCGCCTGAGAAGCGGTTGTATTGCTGCCTGGTTACCCCCAACCGCGTTGAGTACAGACCACTGCTAAGCACTGTTCACTGCTAAACGTCACAGAGCACAGTCCACTGCTGAGCACTGCTCACTAAGAACAACACTGGGTACTGGGAGTTGAGGATTACTGCCCAATTCTTATTGGTGATTTCAAGTAGCCCAAACTGTTGGTAGTTGACTGAATGCAATCGTGTATTGATCAAAAGCAAACTGAATACCGATTAAAGACTCAAGATAACCCGGATAATTGAACAGGGTTGGATAACATGTCACCGAACCTCAGTTCCTGACTGCAGAAACTAAATGAACTGCCAATGGATGGTTGGGGCCTTTGATTATTCGAGAACCAGGAGATACCCCGGGGGGAAAAGAACTCAAGTGTGTCTGTTTTTCAACTGAGAATTGCCCTGGCCTGATCCACCGTCCCTAGAGAGGAGGCGGTACTGTGCATTTTGCCATCCGATCCGTAAAATTAGATCACGCATTCAATTTATTTCCTTATCTTTGCTATTTGGGCTGCGTGTTCGCACTGGACCTGCCTTTGGAAGTCCACGTCCAGATAAGCCTCCTCCATCCATCCCCTTCTCTTGTCTCTGACAGAGCTACACTTCACAACTAGAACCTCACTACCTTTCGTGTCTTCTCGCCGTGTCTGAACCGAAATATGCAGAACTTGAAAATTGCGTGTAACTGGTCTTGCCTAATATCATTCGAATTCTGAGCTGGCCCGAGTTTGCTGAGTCTATCTTGTCTGTCCTTCAGACTTCCGCTTGAGTCTGCGACGGGTCGTTTAAGTTCAGCTCGAGTTCAAATTGTCTGAAAACGAGTCGAAGTTGTTTGAGACTAGTTGTCCGAGTCTGAGTTGTCTGAGTCCGAATTGTCTGAGTCCAAATGGTCTGAATCTGAATTGTCTGAATCAGAATTGTTTGAGTCGGGATTGTCTGAGTCTGGATTAGAGATCATCAACCAAGCTTTGACCCCCCCACGAAGGTTGTAGCGGAGTATTGGCCAATCGCCGATGAATTTTACAGAAAAGAAAGCTACATGAGCTTTGCCTTCGAAGTTTCTACTGCTTCCAAGGATGAACAGTTGTTGTGCAGCTTACCACTTGGCTCGTAGATATAGAAAATGTACTCAATGAATTTGTGATGTTTCCTTGTTTTTCCCACGGCAAACTCTCTCATTGATCTCTTATAATTTTCAACCTTCTCCAATACCATATCCTCCCATCCTTCCTCTTTTGCCTGGTATAGGGTGCAGGTCATTGCCAAGATGTCTTTGCTTTCCATATCTTTCCCTCAGTCTCCTCTCACTTCAATTGCAGGACTAAAAGAGCAAGTAGGGATGCTCCCCTCTACTAACGGTCTCTAGATACGCAGTTCTACGGGAATAAAGTTGTGCAGTTCAGATAGACAACTTACTAATGTCGTGACGCCTGCCAAAGCTGGCTATGAGTCCCCCCCCAATGCCACCTGAGGCTTTACAACGAGGGGCCCTGCGTCCTGGGTAAGTACAACTATGTGTTCCGTCAAAGCCAGTATCCGAAGGATTGTGCGATGTTTAACCCTTTTGAGGGTGACGCTCAAGACAATATGCATATCAGTCTTGTCCTCAGACTGCTCAGACAATGTACCTCACCCAGGAGATGAACAGTCCTACCTAAAATGAGAATCACTACCCCCTCCCCAAATAAGGATTGATAAAACAGGATCTCCGAGGAAATTGCTCTGGCGTTGATCTCGCGGACAGTCAACGAAAGACAAGCGTTTCTTGAAAGAAAGAGAAAAAGGAAACAAAGAAGGGGGGGGGCACATGCAAGCGCACTAGTAGGACGTAGTTATGATCCTCCCGTCAATAATAGGCTACTCAGTTTCCCTCTTTTTTTTTTCTCTTTTTAAGTTGAAAACTGCCCTGACCCGAATAAATTAGACATTTAGTCACCATCAAGTAGGAATTTAGCGAGAATATAAAAAATCCTCCTCAACACTATCTTTCTCTTCACCATACACTCAAGGTCAAAGCATAGATAGTAATCAAGAAGAAAAGGAAAATTAAAGAAAATCGTCTCCGTACTTCCCCTTCCCCGATCTACAGGTAAGCCAGCGAGACAGGGTAGCTCTGTGTACTCAAACAGAACACCTGCATAAAGTTATCAAATTTGCAAGAGCATTTAATCGTACTCTTGCCTAGTCACACGGCAACTCACGAACTCATAAGTCGTGCACCTAATTTTATCTGGTCGCAAAAGAACTCGTACAACTACTAGCAAGCAGTCAACTGAACGGGCATATGTAGTGCCCATGCAGCCATCTGGTATAGTCGCCCGACGGAGTCACACGGTGCAGATATACGACGCAATCGCACGATGTAGTCATATGATGTAATCTTTTGGCACGATCACTCTGTACAGTCATGCGGCACAGTCAAATCCTACAGCCACGCGGAACAATCACACGGCGCAGCGCTGTCACTTTGGCATGGTCACACAGTGCGATCACCCGATGACTTCGCGGGACTTGAGCACACGAATATAAGGGTTGCATGTCTCCTTAACCTTGCCAAGTAATCAAATAGAGCACTTAATATGAGTAATACATCCAAATAGACAAGCGAGTGGTTACATTAATGCCAAAATATTCAACTCCAACCTCGCAATCCACTTAAACTAGCCTCCCGCACGTTGGCCCCTTCCTTAAGGCAAGAAAGTTTTGAATCGTTGTTACAACCTGGGGCTACTCCCTTTTTCATCCGCTTACTCAGCCTACTGAAAACTTAACCCTTTGTCACGACGCCACAAAACGATTAATGACGATCAGTCGCACCGATAAACCAAACCGAGAGGAAGACTAAGACCAGTGAAAACAAAAGGGAATTATTTTTGCAAAGGCCAACGTCTTTTCTGAAGGCTCGGCCAGGGCGGCTACAATGAATAACGCGTCGGCGACCCTTGATTGTCAGGTTGAAAGTCCCATGAAGGCGGCGAGACTCGTCAGGGCGAGTAGGCCAAATCGTAAGTGAAGTCAATCTCAAAAGTGGGAGGCCCTTCCCTCTCTCTGAGAATGTTCAGCCTCAGTCAACAGCGTGTTGATCCCCCCCCACCTCATCATGAAGAAACGCCAGGACTCAGTAGTTGCAAACTCCGACTGAGAAATGTGTTGACCATCGT